TTGCCATTGTAACCTGAGGGCTATCAGTGTAATCATTGTGATTACTGCTTGAATACAGGTAGTCCTCCTCCTGACACCCCAGCTGGGACAAGAACTTCCACAGCTGAGTGAAGCGGTTGTTAATAGGTCACATACAATTTTGTGATCATTTTTGCTACAATTTTTAAGTCAACCTGGCTTCTATTAACTTCTCTTGTGAGAACCTCCTCAGGAAGGTCAATCACATGACCCTGTGACACCAAGGGCCCAAATTTTGATCACATTATGGTGAGAGTACTGTGATGGTGTAAGTATGAGGATCAGTCATAAGTCAGTTTTTTCAACACTGATGCAACTTAGAATTGTTGTTAAATGAACGGTTGCAAGTCAAGGACTACCTGTAAAAGTCTTCATAGTTTTATCTTCTTATCCTGTATTGCTTATGGAACTGTCTACTTGTCAAGCTGCCATGAAACATTGCCATTTCTATTGTTATTTCCATATATTTAGTTAGATTTCTATTGTTATTTCCATATATTTCTGTTCCTCCTCCTTCAGACATTATGTATACTTGCCAACATAGCAGATGGAACGACAGCTAAAGAATTCATCATGACAAATGATGATATTTTACAAAAAATTAAGTATTACATGGTATGTAATTTAAGTTTTTCTATAATTAAATTTTGGGAAAAGATTATAACCCAGGGATTTTCAGCATTTGGTAGAAATCTGTATATTAAGTGCAGTACTGTTTGTTGCTCTAATTTTCTTGAATAGAATGCCTTTTCTTTTAAAATATTTTTTCAACTTTGCTTTCATTGAAGAAAAGCATAGGAATTTTATATCATTATTGTGAGTAATAATTTGGAGGCAAGAAACCTATATTACATAAAAGTTAAGAAAAAATGAAAATGTTTACTTAAGTCAAGTTTGGTTCCTTGCATTTTTTTTCTTGGCAACAATATGGAATTGGTTTGCCATTGACTTCTGCCAGAATATGCTTGCTGTTAGTTTTGTCTTTATAATCAAAGCTGTAGCTTCTTTTCCAAGTATTAACTAGATCAGCTAGGTCAGGGTAACAAAGCAATAGTAAACTAGATCCACACTTTTGCCAATAACATTACATGATTCTGTGAAGTCAAAAAGTGTCAGTTTCAAAAGGGATTTGATTTTACTAAGGAATAACTTAAAATATTTCTGTCTAAATGTTTTTGTCTGCTTAGAGCCACTCAAATGCTAAACTTCAACTGGCTGCCATGTTTTGTGTATCTAATCTGATATGGAATGAAGAAGAAGGTAAGAGGATATACTCAGGATTTTTATTCTGAAATGCTTAATTTAAAATGAAATTACATTTACAGTTGAGCATATGGAATGCATTTTTATGTTGGATGGGAAAATCACTACATTAAAAGACAGGTGAATTGAATATGCTATTTGATTCCCTTTGAGTGAAAAGGAAGTTATCTGCGGGGAAAAAATGAAAAGAGCAATTTCTAGTGGATGAAATTTGAATAGGTAGACATTTTTGTTAGGAGCTGACAAATCAAGATCAAAAAATGGAGTAGCCATTAATGTGAAAAAGCATACCATGGTAATCAGAAATACAAATTAAGGATGAGGAAGGTTGATTCATAATACTGTATTTAGACTGAATTTAGAAATGTAACTAAGCGTTGGTTCCATTTATGCACTAATTCATAAAATTCTATAATCCCCCCCAATGAGATTAAATGGCTTTCTAGCAGATATTATATAGCCTCATCAAATGAGTTATATGATAAATAAAAATACTATTTATATGTTTAATGTTATTGAAAACAATCTTAAAAAATGGCCATGATTTTTCTTGGTGTTAAAAAATATTTAATAATTTGGGGTGGTCTATGTTTTCAGTTCTGGAAAAAAGTAAGTTGTGTTCCTAATATTTTTCACATGGATACAGAGTATACAGAATGAAAAACTAGAATTATGGGGAATAGGTTTTTTTTTTTCATTTCTATCTATTAAAGCGGAGCAGACCAAGTTGTCTCCTTTCATCTCTTTATTTTTACTTGTGTTTTTTTTTTACTTACCTTTATACATATGACTTAAAGGGGGCGCAATAGCTCAGCAGTTAAAAACACTTGAGTTATCAGCTGGAAAGCTGACAGCCCATGTTCAAGACCCCTGCATGTTCAAGAAGCTGCATTATGGGGTGAGCTCCCGCTACTTGCCCCCAGCTCCTGCCCACCTAGCAGTTCAAAAGCATGCAAATGCGAATAGATAAATAGGTTCCACTTCAGTGGGAAGGTAACAGCGTTCCATGCACCTCGGCGTATAGTCATGCTGACCACATGATTGCTGGCTTCCTCAGATAAGAAATGGAGATGAGCACTGCCCCCTAGAGGTGGACACAAATGGACAGGGTTAGTGTTATATACATATGAATGCTTATTTCATTTTACTGTAAAGTCTCTCTTTTTTTGATGGTCAATGACTAATGAAATATTTGCTTCATTTCACAAGCTTCTTTCCCCCCCCACCCCAGTTTTTTATTTATTTTATTTATATATAATGTAAAAAGTCAATTTCATTCAAACTGTATTATCTGGTTACAATTATTTTTAGAAAATCATAAGCAAAATGTTTACAACAATATTCATCACATTAATATTGATTCAATAATAATATTTTACTTATGTACTTTAACAAATCTCCTTTATAACATTAGTTCTTTTTGTATCCCCGTGTTTCTAACTTCTGTTTTTATTATCTAACCGTTGATAAAATAAGTCCCATGTCAAGAAATATTCAGTTCCTTCAATTACACTCTCATCTGTCAGGATCCTTCACTTTTCCATTGCTGTGCAAATACAATTCTGGCTGCATTTCACAAGCTTCTAATGATGCATAAGAATATATTACTTTTATTTCAGATTTGTTTGCATATCTACTTGTATATTTCTTATATTCTTACAAAAATATATAAAATGGAGACAACATGGGAAGAGTTGACACTAAGAAGGATAAGATTTTGAGTTGGGCCATACTTTGACTTTGTTTTTGACCCCAGCAAAAAAAAAAAATCATTAAAAATATATTTCTTTTTAAAATGATAATATCAATAATTCTCAATTAATAAAACATTAAACAAAAGAATAGAAAATGTAATTTATCTACTGTAAATTAGAATGGCATAACTTCTTTTGTTGCTATGCCAATTAAATTATCATAAAAGTAATAGAAAACAGATTATTGGCTAGTAGTTCCACCACAACGTAACTTATGGATTGCTGAAAAATTGGGTTTTATTCCCCTTTCATTTCTAAGGTAATAGATGTATCAGAACTTACCTTTGATTAAAACACAAGATAAATTGATTGGCCTTCGCAGAAAAAGGGAGAATCAGCTGTTTCGTGTCTGTTCCCTCTTTAAGTCTACCTACTTCTCTTGACATTGGATATCATACTGTTGAGTACTTTGGCCTCAGGCTGCTGTTAATGAATGCCAGATCTGTTTGAAATAAGATTGTGATCCTTCACAACTTGATTGTGTAGGAAAAAAAGCCGAGCTAGTATATGTGACCAATACCTGGCAAGATGAGAAAGGCTTATTCAAAATTACCCATATGCATGTCATGTGTTTCTGTAGGCTTTTACGTTGGATTATATATTGCCTTGCCACTGTTTAATCGGTCTGATATAAAATGCATCAGTTACCAACATGCAATTATTTTATATTAGGTTCCCAAGATCGTCAGGATAAACTCAGAGATATTGGAATAGTAGATATTCTACATAAACTGAGTCAGTCGTCAGATCCAAATCTTTGTGAAAAGTAAGTAAACAGAAATTTCAAAACCAAATTGAATTGAATTTGATTACTTTGTAATTAGATTTTCTGTACACTGTATGAATTACTGTATTTTTCAGACCATGACGCGCCAAACTATAAGATGCACCTAGCTTTTGGGGAGGAAAACAAGAAAAAAAATCCTGCCTCTGCCTCCCAGCAGTTTGCCTCCTTTCAGCAAACAGCCTGGTCAGCTTCAGCACAGCCTGGTTTAGTGCGAGCAGCTGATTGACGGTTGGATCTGCCTCCCGGAATACTGATGATCAGCTATTCCAGGCTACGGAGATCACCACCGCCTATCAGTGTCATCACTGCCCATCGCCGTTGCCACATATCCCTGCCTCCATGCCCTCCATTTCAGCCTCCGTGAATCCCAGGCGGCCAAAAACAGGACGTGCGTAGACCGAAAATTGGGCGCACGGAAGCCAAAAACAGGATGCACAGGGGCAGAGATGGGTGGTGGCGATCCCTGCAGCCTGGAATAGCTGATCATTGGTATTTCAGGAGGCAGATCCAACCGCCAATCAGCTGATTGTGCTAAATCAGGCTGTGCTGAAGCTGACCAGGCTGTTTGCTGTTTGCTGCAAGGAGGCAAAATGCTGGGAGGCAGAGGCCGAAGGATGGGGGCCAGTGGGTGGGCGGAGCTTTGGCAACATTCACTATAAGATGCACAGACATTTCCACTCACTTTTTTGGAGAGGGGAAAGTGCATCTTAAAGTCTAAAAAATGCAGTATATACGAGTTATGTTTCTCTTTGCATTTTGTGTTTTTTCCCCTGGCAAACCAGAATTGTCCCAATTTTTAGGATGGCTTAGTGTTGATGAGTGAAATCTATGCTTGATTTGTTTATGTTATCCATGACTCTGGATAACTAAAGGTTAAATAAAGACAACAATAATATAACATAATGAACCAGTCGCCAGGATTTTTAAAAAAACAACAACTAATGAAAAACTATTTCACAGGGTCATACTGACAACCTCACCCTTGTGCCTGAGAACGTATCTCTCTCTTCAGGACCTTCAGGCTGGCAAAGTTAGGGCAATCTAATATCTGATGCAAGAGTATTCTAAAGCAGGGGTCTCCAACCTTGGCAACTTTAAGACCTCTGGACT